ATGGAGCAATGGGGTGATGGGGGACCCATAAGGACCCGTGGAACAATGGGGTAACAGGGACCCCCGGAGACGCAGAGGATGGAGCAGTGGGGCAATGGGAACACCCGGGGACAGGGGACACCGCGGGATAGCAGTGATGGGGGTGACAGGGAACAGCAGGCAACAAGCTACGGCCTGAGGGGACAGGGACACACGGGACACACGGGATGGGGACACACAGGACGGCCAGCTCGGGGGGGACAGGGACACACTGGACATACGGGACGGGGACACGTCTGGACACACAGGACACGTGGGACAGGGACACCTCGGGACACACGGGATGGGAACACTTCCAGACACCTCCAGACACGGGACGGGGACACCTCCAGACACCTCCGGACACCTCTGGACACACAGGACACATGGTACAGGGACACTCCGGACACACAGGACAGCCAGCGCGGGAGACACAGGGACACTCCGGGACCCTGGGGATGCCATCACCTCCTTCCGGACAGCCTCGGTGCCCGCCTCGCTCTCCGCCACCTTCTGCCTGAGSCCGGAGGCTTCGCGGCGGCTCCGCTGCTCTCGCTGCTCCTCCAAGGCCACCCGCGCCTGCAGCTCCCCCAGCTCCCGGCCCCGCCGGCTGTTCTCACTGTCCAGCTCCTTCACCTGCCCGCGGGGACAGACGGCAGCGGCTCGGGGACACCGATGGTGGGGAAGGGTCCTTGTCACCCCGCGTCCCCGCCGTGCCTGACCTGGCGGCGCAGCTCCTGCAGCTCCCGGCGGCTCTCGAGGCGGGAGCGCTCCAGACCCCGCAGCGCTGCCCGCAGCTCCGACACCTCCCGCTCGGCCGCCGCCCGCGCCGCCTCCAGCAGCGCCAGACGCTGCTCCTTGTCCTCCCCGGAGCGCTTCAGGCTGCGGGAGCGGAGCCAGGGGCTGGCAGGACCCCCGGGGGGGGCTGGCAGGACCCCCGGGGGGGGCCGGCATCCCCCCAGCACTGCCCGGGCATCCCGCCCCGAGCTGTGCCCGTCCCGGGTAATTCCCCCATCCCCAAATCTTCACCCCCTTGTCGTGAGTGTCATCCTGACCTGGAGCGTCCCTGTGCCCCGAGCATCACCACCCCCACCTCAGGCACCGCCCTCCAAGGGGGGAAAGGTGTAATCCTTCATCTCCCAATTCCTGCATCTCCCAAATTCCCCTTTCCCTCTTCCTCAGCATCTTCCAACTCCTGCATCTCCCAAATTCTGCTTTCCCTCACCCCGAGCATCTCCAAACTCCTGCATCTCCMGACTTGGGCAGCCCCTTGTCCCACCCATCACTCCGACTCCTGCATCTCCCAGCTTGGACATTCCCTCATCCTGATCATCCCCACCCCTGATCATCTCCCACCCCTGAGCATTCCCTGACCCCGATCATCTCCAATCCC